ATTAATAGTCGTTGTGATTGTGTTAGGCGTGGAAAATAGTCTCTAATGATCGTACCCACCATGCCTTTTAAAGTTAAATCTGCTTTTTGATTGAGATCATCGTGCTAGCTACAAAACATATACATTTAATTTCATATAAAACGTTAGTAATTGAAAATAAAAAACAAGGTTTCAAAATTACTTTTCTAATTCGGTTTATGAAATAAATAGCAACGTACTTTTCATATAATAATAAAGACCTCATATAAAAGGGCAGATTTTTTTTTGGAAAAAGCTATATTTTCACGTCATTCCGCGGAGGCTAGAGGTCATACCTTGGAGACCCCTCTGCGGAGTGACCTACATCTCCGCGTAGACTCAATTTTTGGGTGTTTAACTCATTCCGTGGAGAGATATATCATTCCGCGGAGGATCCTCTGCGGAATGACGTACCTCTCCGCGGAATGGATCTTCCCAAAATCGACTCCCTGTTAATCCTAACATCTACAAAATCATAAATCTAAATCTGTATATATATATATATATATATATATATTATATATATATATATATATATATATATTCACGGTAATCAATCGGATTTTCGTAAGATTTGAATCATAAATACGACATTAATCAAAAGAGGGGAATGTGAGAAATACCCAGGAGCCGTATCCATCGGCAAAAATATCGGGGAAATTGCGATCCATCAGTGCCGACTTTGCTGTTTCACGTCAATTGCGCCGGAAAATGACGTCGTTTGATGTCGTTGTCGTCGGGATTGAAGTCGTCACCGGAAAAAGATCGAAATACACGGTGGGGGACCAAAGAGGGGGACCGATGCGAAGAGACGTTTAAAGTCGAAGAGGAATCGGGGGACCAGTGGGGGACCAAATAAGGGTAACCGTTTTTGTTAAAGAGGAGAAGGTGAATTACGAAAGTACCCCTCTCCGCGGAGGAATCTTCGTTCCGCGGAGGTCCGCAGAGGGTTATCCGCGGAATGTATGTCTATACCCAGAAATGTCCATTTTCATGTCTAAAATTTGAAATTACCCCCAAAATTTGATTACACCCGGTATTTTCCCATTAAAGCTTTAGTTTATGATATCAATTTTGGGCCTAGACTCTAAAGTAAATGTTTGGCTATATTGGCCTAATATAGGTTTCAGAGAAAATGGATAAGCTAATTTTGTCCCTTCTCCATATGTGTAAGGTTGTTCGTTTTTCTTATTAAAGCATCACACGTTAAAAATACAATGATATGATTAAGTATACTTTGAAAACAACCATCCAATTATAATATTGTACTTTTAAAATATAAATTTTTAATAAGAAAAAAAGATCAATATAAAATTATAAAAATTGAAGTTTAAATAAAATTGTAATAAGATTGTGTTATTTTTAGGACAATGAGTTAATAAGATTTTTTTTTTAAAATTAGTTACACATTAGGTGGAAAAAAATTATAATGGTTTTGAATTTTTTTTTTTTGGGTCCGTCGTTAGCCTATAGCATGTTAATTGTAATTAAGTTATTATATAAAGAAAAAATTACTAAACTAGTCTAAATCTTTAATGACTTATTCATTTTTAGTCAAAAAATAGGCTTTATCCCAAAATAGCCCACGAAACCGTAGACGATTAGGATCGTCAACGGTCAAACACAGTTTGACTACGGTCAACGGAAATTTTTGATGTTTAACTACAGTTTCGGGAGACGGGTTACTCTTTCGTGGTCCGTCTATTCTTTTAGGGCCATCGACCATAATATATAATGATTTATTTTGCAGATTATGTCATTTTACTTACTTTTTTCTTGGTTTGGCCTACTATTTTATCTCAATGGAGACTTCAAAGAACAACGAGGTATGTGTCGTTTTTTGTCGAAATTTTACCATATTATTGATTGGGAATAGTTTTTATATGTTAGTTTTTATTTTTATTTTTTTATAAAAAAAAGCAGAAAAAAATATGAAACCGTAGGCTTCATACGAAACCTACGGTGTACAAGTATACAATGCACAGATTGTGTATTGTGTACTTGTACACCGTAGGTTTTGTATGAAGTCTACATTTTTGAGTTTTTTGTTTTGATTTTTCGATTTAATTTGCTTGTAAGTTGTATATAAATGTATTATGGTTCACATTTGATGTTTTTTTTTCAAAATAATAACAAAAAAAAAACGTAGCCTAACCGAGAGAATACCGTAAGTAAAATAATACTTACGGTTTTAGTCCAAAAAATGAATTTTTTATAGTAAAACTGAAACAGGAGACGAAAAAGCAAAACAACAATCGAAAAGGCGAAACAGTAGACAAACCTAAAAGTCTACGGTTTCAAGGGCTATTGTGGAACAATTGTTAATTTTTAGTTAAAAAGGAGTTAGTAATTAGTGTTATTGGCTAGTTTAGTAATTTTCTCTTATATAAATCATTAAGAAAAAGCATCTAAATCAGTTAAGGGTTATAGTTAAGAGACTAAACTGATATGTTTTTTTGAAAGTTTGGTTATCTTAAAGTAGACAAAAATAAGTTAAATGACTCGATATGAAATATATATATATATATATATATATATATATATATATATATATATTATATATATCTATATATATACTAGCCGTCTACCCCACAAAGCGGCGGACGGCGAATAGTTTCGGGTGGAAATTAATTAATTTCGTTGAATCGTTTTCTTTCGGCTATTAGATCAAACCGTAAAAACAGTAAGTATTAAACAGACTACAAAATATTGATAATTCTTTCATTCTTTCAATTAAACCTTGATAAATAAATTTATGTGTTACTTCCTTATAAATAGAAATCTACAATCATACATTTTGTTCTTTTAGATCACAAATAGATAAAAGTCGATGCATGAAGATAATGTCATGTTTTGCAATAAACATCAAATACACGATATATATTGTAACAATTATAAAATAATGAGTTCTTATTGTACCTTATTAATCACATAAGACTTCTTTATGCACTACGTTTGATGTGTAGATTGCATCATGATCGAACATTTTTTATAGCTTACTAATACCTTTACTGATACCTTTGTAACCATAAAAACAAAGTACAAATAGCATTATAAACTAACATTTCGATCAATAAGGATAATAAACAATTTTTTTGCTCTAACTTCTCTCCGAAAGAACCCCACTCAGACGGTTGTTAAATTATACCATAAATAAGAGTTTGGTAGAAATAAAAAGTCATCAACACCGGTGTTTCCATCCATGATTCTACAAAAAAATATTTAAAGATAACTTTATTTATGAGATATAATTACATTACGTATCATGCACTCCAATAGTTATTTCATATATTACATTTTAAGTTTAAAAAACATGTCATTAGAATTTTTAAACATGCATGTGATGGGAATATTTAACATGCATGTGAGAATATTTTACATTTATTTAATATTTTTATTATTGATTGTAGAATTATTAATTATATAATTAACAAACATATGTGTAAGTGTTTGACCTCATTAGTTGTACACACATTGATTGCAAACAAACATAAAGAAGAGCAACCAAACAGAAAGAAACAACAAACAAACAGAAAAAAGCAGCAGAAATCAAATACTCCAAAAAAATAATACATAATTTGAATGTCTTGGCGAAACAGTTGCCATAATAATCTATTTCAAACAAAAAAAACATAAAAAGTGTACGTTCTTTACATGGTTTAGCAAATTTAACAAGGTTTACCTACATTAAAAATGGTAAATGTTGTCATTTAATTTGCAAAATAACTTGGTTTTTCAAAAAAAATAGTAAGATTGTAACAGCCCTTTAACTATTTTTGTTTTATAATCACATAAAGATAAATTCAAGTAAGTCCGTCAACAACACAGAACATTGTTCTTAATTTAATAGATAATGTGATATTTTAGCATTATAAAGAGAGACATAGAAGAAAAACTGAAGAAAAATCATAACAGTCACAAACACACACAATCAAATACACATACAAACAGTCAAAGACACATATCCACAACATTACAAACATATATAGAAGAAGTTTATTACTTCAGATGAAAGAAATAAGAAGAAAATAGTGTGCATGCACACTTCAAGTATATCAAATGTAACATCAAGTCGAAACAATGTTCATTACTTAAGGATTAATAGCATACACAGATGTAAAAAAACATCATAGGAAGTAGTTTTTTACTGGTAGAAAAGAACTTGTAGTAGGAAGATAAGGAAAACCGTGGTACCCTTCTTTTCTTTTGTTCCGATCACACTTTTTTTTCTTCAGTTCACATGTTCTTTATACGCTTTACTGTGGAATATATAAGATGAAAATAGTTAATTATAGAGTTGAAGTATACCAAAAATAATGCAATTAATATCAAAACAAAATATGCAAATAAGACCAAAATAAGTTAAGTAAAAATCATAATTTCAAATAAATCTCAACATACTACAAATAAAATAAAATTTGACAGCTAAAATCATAGATTATTTAATAAATCTTTATTGTAATTTTAATATATAGTAATTATAAAAATAAAATACGATTTTAATTATACTGAAAGAATTTATTAATCTTAAAAATAAAAAATGAACTTCATACATGAAAAATTATTTCTTTTTCAAATTATACCAAAATACAAAAATGATTTATTTTATGATTTGATGAAAACAAAATCTACTCTAATAAATAAAGATCCATTTTGCCACATGTTAATCTCTCATAAGTTTTGACATTTGTCATTTTATGGTATTTTTTTGAAATAAATAATATCTACATGTCAATTTTTAGATTATTTTAATTTTTAAAATTAAAAAGTCACATAATACATATAGCTATATAAGTAAAGTATTAAATGTAATAAATATGTTTTTTCCTTCCTTATTTTAAAATTTAATTTTAAAAAATACTTAATGTTTATATTTTGATATTTAATTTTTTTTAATGAACCCATGTACATGGGTCACACCTAGTTGTTTATAAAAGCAATATAGTAGAAAAAAAGCATACAATATAATTAAGTATGGTTGTTCACTGATTCTCAAGAGGAAGATAGCCTGATAGGTTGTTATTGTCAAGAAGCCTGCAACAAATGCCAATGCACTCAAAACTTGAGTAACTCAAATCAACACTTGTCTCCTACAATTAACAGCAGGAAAAAAACAAATTAACTTACCAGATACAAAAATTTATAGAGCTCCATATTGAGTCATCATATTGAACTAACTCCAGAACCAAAGTGGCATTGCAAACCGTTGACCCTTTACCATTTTCAAAATAATGGAAAAGATAAATATTATATTGAAATTGTTCATTTGTTTTAGAAAAAGAAAAAAAATGTAAAAATTACCTTTTCACCAGCAGCAAGAAGAAAGCCAGCAAGAATATAGGCATATCCCACACAGTGGGTGCCAATTGGGTTTACAAGCTTTGCATTGTGTCATAAATGGCCATGCTTAGAGTGAGCTGCAAAAAGTTGGAAAGTCAAACTCAAAGCATATTAACATTATAAATTATAAAACCCAATTACAATAAGGAAAAAAAATCACGTCTCCACCAGGGCCATTTATGTACATATACATTATTTTGGAATTGTCAAACATGAGATACATCAACAGTGTTAACAATCCAACAAAAAAATTCTTCCACAGATCACATGAACTGAAATTCTTCCATAAATCGCCAATGTATCTTCGGGAATCAAAACGATGTCAATTTTTTTGTTAACATTCTAAAATTCTTCCACAAATCGCCAATGTGTCTTCATTCATCAACAATGTTAACAATCCAGCAAAAAAATTCATGGTCTACATGAGATTCAACAATTAACAATTAACAATTAACCAAGTATCAGAGATCATGTCTTTAAGACATCAAATAAATATGAGTTGTTGTCAATAATAAGTTGAGTGATGATAGTTGTGTATACCTGACAATAGCCAATAGAGGGGTAATGTCTAGCATAAGCAGTGAGTAAACGTCTCAAAGCATTTCTCCAATCATCATTCAAAACAGGATGACCTGGAAATGTTCGAGGCAAATCCTACATATGAAAAAGTACAAATGAATTAGGAATTAGGGGTACCAATAAAAATAATGTTATTATAATCTAAGAACTCAGATTAATTTACAGTTTTACACAATCACCTTCTCAATCTGCCCCTTTCCATTTCTCAGGTATGCATGCATACACTTGATGCTTTAATAGCATTGTTTTGTTGTAAAGTCAGATTTTCTATATTGTTATCATTCTTTGTATCGGGAGTCCAATGTTTTAATTGTTTAACGATGGTGAGAGTTCAGATATCAAACATAAAGAAGCTGTATTTTTTTTTTCATTTTTTGTTTTGATACTGAAATGGTTTTGTGAAGTTGCCTTAAAAAACCGTTTTTTTTTCACAAAAAAAGGTTTGGTTCAGGTTTTTCAAATAAAAATCAACAAAAAACGGTTTCAGTTTTTTATAGAAACTTATTCCTAACCGGCGTTTCGTTTTTAACCTGGTTTTCAAAAAAAAACCGGTCCGTTTTTTTTTTTAAATTTAACAAAATGGTTCCTAATTTGCTCGTCTAATCTGACTTGCAAGGTTAAACTTATATATGTATATTCTACAATGTGTTAAGGTATTAAACAGAAACCAAACTTTATATTTGTATATTTAAGTTCAAACTTTTTCAAAAATATTTTATCTCTTAAATATTGTTTTATTTTTTTTTTCAAGTTTTACTTTTACTTTTAGTTATGGTAAACATAATTAAAATAGGTTTCTCTATTTTAAATGGCATTAAAATGCCATATATTTCAAACCAAAAACCACATAAAGTTACTTGCAACCCAAAAACAATGGCAAAATGAACCATTAAAAAACAGGGGAAGTGAAATGTTGGCAACTGACCTTAAATAGAGTAGTAATCATGTACGATACATGTTGCCTCTTCTCCATCCCAGACATAATTTTGGCAAGCCTTGAATTACATCAACAAGATCAAAAAACATCTATATGATGTTTCACAGATCTTCATATATGTAGGTCATAACAGTTGCTAGAAATTGTTCATAACATAATACCATACATATTAGGGTTAGCAGATCTAACCCTTTCTACCCATTTGGAATTGAAAATCACTTGTCTTACAATGAAATTCGAATTGCAAGGGCACCTTTTGGGACCAATTTCATTAGAATGTGGCTTACAATGATGTTATACATCGGAACACATTAAGATAGAACATTTATTCAAACTTAATTATCCAGTATAGGTTAGGTATATACCTGGTTCAATACTTCTTCTTGTGCAATTCACAATTTAGATTAGGTCTCGAAATTCCATAAGAATCTGTTCGGCGTTTTCATAGTTCTCCTTACATTTTATCGAACAGCTATAATGCTGGAAGAAATGCCATATTGTCAGTATCAAAAATTCAAAAACAGATTTAATTAAATAGTATATTAGTTCTTAAACTATCAGAGAGGAGAAGCCATAATCATAAAATCGAAGTTCCAATTGCAGAGAGGAGAAGGACATGCTTAGCTGATCAATCTGAAGACAAACAGGCGTCGATGTCGGTTGGTTGCGGGGCACGGTGGCCATTCACGATAGAGAGAGGAGAAGGACATGCTTACGTGCTTACCTGATCAATCAAAGCTAATCGTGCTCAATAACTCACTCCCAATAAAAAAGATTTGAGCATGGTGGCAGTCGATGGCCGTTAACGATTCTGGTGGTGGTTCGTTGACGGAATTTGTGTTTCTTGAAGTGAGATTGTTGAGACGGCGGCGGATTGATGCTAGTGTGGGAGAAATGAGGATGCGGGAAGAGACGACACCACTTGTATTAGGGGGGGTTTAAGGGTACTGGGATCGAAAGAAAATGTTAGAGTTAATTAAGGAAACGTTATAAATTCTATGTGTAGTAAACAATAAGCATTATATGATTGTAAATAATGTATTGGGCTTTGTATCTCTTAAATTTCAAGAAACACACAATATGCTTTATATAATAGTAAAGATATATATGTAATATATATATAGATTATATATAATATAGTATATATATATATATAATATATATATATATAATTGTTTCTTTTCATTGATAATTTATAATGATAAAATTGCAAAAATGGTCAATGTTCTTGTTAAAATTATGTGGGTTTTGGTCCAAAAAAGTTTTGTGATGCATCATTGGCCCAATTTCGGATACCTTGTGTGGTTTTGGTCCCTATAATTTTTATTTTTGTGTGGTTTTGGTCCATACCCCACATGAAATGACAAATATGCCCTTTATTATTTCCTTTTTACTTTCTTTTAATTATTTTCTTACTATTTTATTTTTTTTAAAAAATGAAATATAACACCTACCCCACCCCACCTCTTACTAACCCACCCACCCTGAACTCTCTTCCTCATCTCCGATCAGCATCTCTTTCTTCATTGTTGGCCGACACCTTTACTTGTCGGACCACCGCCACTTGCCGGATACCACCACCTGTCGGACCACCACCACCACCCCACACCCATCTCTCCCTAATCGACACCAACAACTTAGTTGTCCATCACCACTAACTCCTGCTGTCAAACCCAACGCCACCGCCTCTGCCATTAAACACCATCGTTACCATCTTTGCCATCAAACACCATTGACCACCACCACCATCACCACTTTAACTAAAATTAATTGCTAAAAATTGAAATCTAAAACCTTGAAACTGAAATCCTAAGTCACACCCCAACCCACCCTCTTTCTCATTGTGGACACCATCACCACCACCACCACTCGGTAGACCACCACTATCGCGGAGATGAACAGATCCGACCATTAATCTAGGGTTTCCACCACCACCGCCACCATTAATTGGTCTTCCAGCATATGATTCTATTGTGCAACAGAAAGAAAAGCAAATGGAGAATGCATTTCGAGTAGGTTAGGTTTTATCATCGGCAACTACAGACTGTGGGGATTTACTGACGGCGGGTTAGGGTAGATTAGGGATTTCTGGTGGCAATTGATGTTGATCAATGGAGGTCACCGGAGTTGTTGACTTTTCCAGCAGTTCCACGCACGAAGATAAAGATAATCGAGGGATGGGGAGGGTTGTAGTGGGATTGAGGGGGACGTTGCGACTGTGTGTTGGATATGAATTTATCGACAAGAAGAGAAAGATGAGATTTGGGTTTGTAGGTGTCCGACGCCATTTGGGTTTGCAGGTATCCGAAGACAGAGATGAACCCTAAATCCGAAGATAAATGTCGAGTGTGGGAGTCGGAGAATGAGATGAATAGAAGAGTGTAACATATCAGATTTGTGGTGGCTGTTGGCAGAAGTTTCAAACGGAAAAGGGTGTGTCGTTGATTGAGGGTGGAGTCGCGGATGAAGGGGCTTCTCCCCAAACGATTTTGGAGCTGGTGATGAGGGGGGGGGGGGTTATTAATTTTTTTGCTTAAGTTAAAAAAATGAAAAATATAATAAGAAGGGTATAAATGTAATTTTAAGTGTTTAGGGACCAAAATCCTTAAAAAATCCAAAATCGGACCATTAATGCACCACCAAACGTTTTTGGACCAAAACTACAAATTTTTGACAAGCACGTGGACAATTTTTCCAATTTTGTCATTTATGATTGTTAAAAACACTTGACCACTATTACCTTACAAGACTCGATTAATCAAACGAAAAGAATGACGGTTTTAAAAAACTCATTACATAGACAAAACGACTAAAAATGAAGAAATGACATAATTTGTGTATCACTTTCAACATTGAATTTCAACATTTTCCATGATTTAAATTAAGGTTTTTCAATTAGGTGACGTTGATACGTTTGGTGTTCTTATTTTATAATATTTGTGTCTGCTTCAATCTTCATACACTTACAGGGAAAATAAATAAGATAAACAAACTTGACTCATCTAGTCATCTGTGTAAATACTCTCTACTAAATTTGTATATAAGAAAAAAAATCATCGAAAATATCATTACAAAATAATAAATCCAAACATGTGGCAACTTTTTATTGATCAAATTAAATACAAATGTTGAATTTTATAAATCCTATCTAAAACTTAAAACCCTATACCCATGTAACGTACAATATTTAATACGTAGAATACAAGTTCCTGTAAAATGAAAGTGTTTGAACTTCACACACCAATTACAAATTTACGAAACAAATCAAGTATTATTCAGAAAATTAAAAGATTAATTATCATACCGCTGGCCACTTGTATTTTATGCGGTTCTTAAGGTATAGTTGAACGCTAGTGCTGCCCGTAGCTTGAGTGTTCACCACCACCTCCGCCGCCGCCGGCACCTCCTTCGTGACCATGCCCATGTCCCTCTCCGCCGCCATGACCATATGGAGCAGCTGCCGGAACCAAGATTGGCTTCTTCTTTCTCTTTGCCAAACAGAATAGTCCAGCTGCCAAGAATGCTAGGAAAAACACACCACCTAGCGATGCACACACTGCAATGACGACAGTGTGGTCTTTTCCGCCACCACCGCCTGACGGTGTTGGTGGTGTTAGGATGTTGCCGGACGGGGGGACAGCACTGAAAGGCTGTGGAGGTGGTACTGGTGGATATGAAGGTAGAGGAGGTTGTCCTTCAGGAGGCCAGCTTCCCGGAGTACTTGGCTTCGGTGGTTTTCCAGGTCCACCAGGCGTTGCTGGTTTTGGTGGATACGCCGGACCACCTGGCGTTGGTGGTTTTGGAACTTTTGGTGGACTAGCTGGTCCGCCAGGGGTCGGTGGTTTTGATCCTTTGGGTGGACTAGCAGGTCCGCCGGGAGTTGGTGGTTTTGGTCCTTTTGGTGGACTAGCCGGTCCACCCGGGGTTGGTGGTTTCGACCCTTTGGGTGGACTAGCTGGTCCGCTTGGTGTTGGTGGCTTAGGACCCTTCGGTGGGTAAGCTGGACCATGTGGTGGGTGGGAGGGTTTTGGTGGTGATGATTTAGGAGGGTAAGCTGGACCATGTGGCGGGTGGGAGTGTTTTGTTGGTGCAGCTTTAGGAGGGTAAGCCGGTGTCTCAGGGGTCGGAGACGGTGGTGTCTTCCCATGTCCATGTTTCGGGGGAGGAGGGCATGGCAGGACCGGAGGTGGTGGTGGAGGAGGGCATGGAACCGGAGGTGGTGGTGGTGGAGGACATGCAGGCGTTGGTGGAGGAGGTGAAGGCGGAGGTGGTGGTGGTGGACATGCTTTTGTTGGCGGTGGTGGTGATGGTGGTGGAGGAGAATAGTAAGGATAAGCCGTAGTTAGCTTCCTTGAACCCGCCATTGAGATAATTGTTGTTTAGTGGTAGGATGGATAGGAACTAACTTCTTACTTATATATATACATACACAAATTATATGTATATTAGTATATAGATATATATATATAATGTTTAGTGGCACGATGGCTTAGAGCGATAACTACTACTCTGTCATGATGAAAAAGAAATACAAGTAGCTAGAGACTAATGTGATTCATGTACTTACCCAATTCGGGCATGCATGTGACCCGACCCGATTTATACTAAGTATATTGATATGTAAGTATTGCAATGTGCTTGACAGCAGTCACATTTTATTTTATTTTGTACAAATAATTTTGGTAATTAGTGGGTTCGTGGAGTAGGTAGAGACGTAGAGTAAATGGTCATAGATAGCAGACTTGGATTTTCCAAATAAGAAAAGCATGTGTGCTTTTTTCTGTATTATTTCAAATGTTGAAGCCTAATTTTTGATAGAATTTGATGTTTTGTTGTAAGTAACGACTCAAATCATGTTTGAACTCTTTAAGAACGGAATAAGAGATTTTGTAAAGTTGATCAAGTTTTGAGGGTCGGGTAGCAATTAAATGTAATTGATGATTAGAGATGTGAATATTTAGTTTGGTAATTTGTGGTAACAGCCAAGGTGAAGGCAGGTTTATGCACTGAAGCATTTGCGTGAGCAAAATTTGGTTGGTGAATATCTCAAAATTTGGCAAATATTCCCAAAGTAACTAAAAGTGCAAGCCTATCCATATGCGGGTATCCACAATAGAATTTTGGTCAAAACATGTGGTTTCCGGGAAACTTTTCTTCCTATTTTTGTAATTTTTTAGGATGAGGTTAATGTTAGAAAAATAATATTTCTTTAAGTTTACGGTAATTGATAATTTTATTTTTTGGAAAATATCCAACTTATTTTTTTTCAAAAAAACTATATATTTGAAAATTTTCATTTGAACCAATTTTTTCGTTTTGCCTTATAACCCTCATGTTTTTGTTTATGTTGTTTATGACGTTTTTGGTAGTTTTCAAACATTAAAATTTTAAGAAAATATAGATTGCTTTTGGAAGAAGGAGAAAAGTTGTTATGTCTAATTCTTGCTAGCAAAATACATATCAAAATAACAAAATCAAACAAAAAGACAGCTCTCGAACTCCTATCTGTGTTTGGAAATTTAATTTCAATTTTTTGTGATTTGACCTGTAATAAACTCATTAGATTTCTTTGAGACTCAATAGTCATATCAATAATAGCATAGTGAACAAATTTATTAAAAATTACATTGGTATTCATTTTCAAATTAATAGAGATAAAACCTTCGGTTAGCAAATATGATACCTATAGTCTCCAAATTAGCTTATGCATAACCTCCCGTCTCGAAATTAGCAGAAGCATAATCATTTGTGATACGATTTCACACAAGTTAGCATACATAAATCCTTCAACTTCCAAATTAACAAATGTTGAACAATTTGTAATACAATAACATTCAACTTTGTAATTATAAAACCTAATGTTTCTAAATTAGCAAGCACATATACAATCAAACATTCATTTTCCTCCACTAAACACCATAATATAAGCAGTAGTAACAACAACATATAGATTATGAGTTAAAACGAAAAATTGTTCCAGACCAAAGTTTGTCACATATAACGGTTTTTCGAAAACAAAAAGTTACATTTTTTTCTAGAAAAATTGTCATAACGAAAACGTTTGAAGTAATGTGGATAACATACGAAGGTAGATCGATCAGTATAATGATTAGTATTACTGATAAATTTTATTTAAAAGTTCGTAAAAATATTTACGAACATAAATATAAATTATACTTAAAGAATGGTAAGCATAACTCAATTTACAGGTTGTTTGACAAAAAACCAAACATTACGTGTAACACCCTCAAAAATCATGCCTATCTAAAACTTTTTAAAACATTTAAAACCAATAATTATTACAAATTTGTTTTCAAAATAGTTTAAACATCAGCGTGTCCCCAGAATCAAATCATAAAAATATAAGGAGGTGCACGATCACACATTCGCCTTCCCGCGATCATCAGAAGTAACTGAAACATAATCAACAACTGTAAGCCTGAAGCTTAGTGAGTTCCCACAAAATACCAATGCCATACAGATATAACCATATCATATAAACAAACAACATGCATAATGAGCCATCATCCTGACTGGACCGCCTCGCAGGTCCATCAGTCTATCTGGACAGCTCTCCGAGCCTTCGGCACGTCTGGACCGCCTCTCAGGGCCTTCAGCCTATCCGGACCGCTCGTCGGGCCTTCGGCCTAACTAGTATGCCCTAACCGGGTCTGCAGTCTATCCGGTCTGCCCTGGGTATGTTGGCCTACAGCACAAAGCAGGACCTGCCTCAACCCAACCCCTAATCCAACAATCATGTGCATATAAATATCATATACTAGCTAGCATGTACCGATAGTCATACAAATCTAACAGATCATTAACATAGCAACCATCCTATAACCAGGATACCGATCTAACATATCACTAACATAGTAACCATCTTATAACTAGGATACCGATCTAACAGATCACTAACATAGCAACCATCCTATAACCAAGATACCGATCTAACAGATCACTAACATAGCAACCATCCTATAACCAGGATACGAATCATAAAGGGCCGGTCTTGGTGCTGTAGACCCTGTTGATATAGTGAGAAGAATCACCTCACGATGTCGAACTGTAGTGATAAGATCAAACTCCCGAATCACAGTCACAAACTCAATCACCTATAACCACCATCGGACCAAGTCCATCAAAATCCCAAATTACCAAAATACCTCAAAATTCCAACTGGTCAACCCTTGGTCAAAGTCAAAGTCAACAGTCAAGGTCAATAGTCCATGTTGACCCGACTCGTCGAGTGTAGCTTACCGACTCGTCGAGTTCTTTTAGAACACGAGAAATCGTGAAAACCCTTTTTGACTCGCCGAGTTTCCAGACACCTCGTCGAGTCCCTGCGGTGTCCAAATTTCAGGAAAAACCTAACTAAATCGTTGAGTAATCTTACTTACTCGCCGAGTCCATGCAGAAACCAAAAACAGCCAATCTTCATCTGACTCGTCGAGTTGACCATGCAACTCGTCGAGTCCCTTTAGTCCATTTCTTATTTAAACGTTTTTAAGCCATTCCAACACTCCAAATTGTAGATCTAGCTTCCTAAGGCATAGTTACCACGTAAAGTTGCAAAATTTACGTGCATGCAAGGTCTTAAGGGCCAAAACCAAGCTAAGGAAGAGGTTTATGCCAAAGAGAAGGGCCAAAGCTTGACAAATTCAATAACTTTATGACTACAAGGACTTAGAGGAGTCCATATCTGAAGTTACAACTTCAGATCATGCCCAATACCCGAAATGACCCACAAATATGCTAAGGATGGCCTTAAACCCATTAATAAGGAGATCTAACACTAGAATGATCAAGGTAATAACTTGTTACCTTCAAATGGAAGCCAAAATGGAGTAGGTACTGGATTCATGCAAGCTTCTCCTTGATCCAAGCTCTTGAGTCTTTCAAGCTTCTTGCGCAAGTTCACCAAAACACTCTTTTAGCCTCAAAAAACACTCAAGAACAAGGTTTAGTCTGATTAGGGTTTCTTCTGGCCGTCAAAAGGTGGTAAGGGGCTGGAGGAAAGGACTTAAGGTCCTTTAAATAGGGTGTAAACCCTAAAATTAGGGTTTCATATTCCAGCTCCAACTCGTCGAGTTGGGTCCTCCAACTCGTCGAGTAGGTCCCTAAAGTCACGCGGCCATAATCGTTTCTACACGACGAGTTGGGGCACCCAACTCGTCGAGTAGGCTCTTGCATATGAATATAAAGCTGTAAAATTTATACCTGGGAGTCGGGATGTTACAATTCTCCCCCACTTGAGCTAGACTTCGTCCTCGAAGTCTGCTGCGGCGAACAACTTCGGGTAATGCTCCTGCATCTCTACCTCCGGCTCCCAAGTCCACTCGGATCCCCTCCGGTGCTGCCACTGTACCTTTACGAAAGATACTTCCTTGTTCCGCAGAACCTTTACCTTCCTCTCAAGAATGACCATTGGCCTCTCCACGTAATTCAGGCGCTCATCGACCTGAATATCATCTAATGTCACTACTGCCTCCTCATCCAGAATGCACTTCCGCAACTGTGAAACGTGGAAAGTGATATAAATCTGACTTAGATCCTCTGGGAGGTCTAGTCTATACTCCACCTTGCCAACCCTGGCAATGATCCTGAATGGCCCGATGTATCGGGGACCCAATTTCCCCCTCTTCCTGAAGCGAATCACACCCTTCTAGGGCGAGACCTTCAGGAGTACCATGTCACCGAACTGAAACTCCAACTTAGATCGACATCGGTCTGCATAACTCTTCCGACTCTTTGCGGTCTGCAATTGCTGTCTGATATGCTGAATCATCTTAGTAGTCTGCAAGACTACCTCGGTCCGACCCATCATCCTGTGACCAACCTCGCCCTAACAGACTGGGGTGCGACATTTCCGTCCATACAACAACTCATAAGGTGGATCACCAATGTTGGAGTGATAGCTGTTGTTCTAGGGAAACTCTGCAAGGGGTAGGTAGGAGTCCCAGCTCCCACCAAAGTCAATGACGCAGGCCTTGAACATATCCTCGAGGGTCTGAATGGTCTGCTCACTCTGGCCGTCTGTCTGCGGATGGTATGCGGTACTGAAATGCAGACGCGTGCCTAGTTCCTCGTGGAAATTCTGCCAGAAACGGGAGGTGAACCGAACATCACGGTCTGAAACGATGGAGACCGGAACCCCATGGCAAGCGAAAATCTCACGTATATACACATCAGCCAACTTCTCGGCTGATGATCTCTTCCGAATGGGCAGAAAGTGGGCACTCTTGGTTAATCGATCCACGATGAACCATATAGCGTCGAAACCCTTCGCCGTTCTCGGCAATTTGGTGATGAAGTCCATCGTGATATGCTCTCATTTCCACATGGGAATCTCTAGAGTCTGCAT